GTAGGTGTTGCCAATTCCCAATTTGTTTTTATGAAAATGATAAAGGTGGAAATATCTCAATGAAAAAAGGAATACTGATGACAGAATTCGTACAATTCGAGTACCTAGAGATTTGAATACTGTGGACTGTATACACAAATTAGTACTGTACACATTACTAATGACAAAATTCGTACAATTCGAATACGAAGTGATTTAAATAATTTGGACTGTATACACAAATTTGTACTGTACACACATTTGCCTTCTTTATACCCTTCACCACACTATGGTTCAGGGTATTATGGCTTTGTGCATATATTTGTAACAGGCTTTGTGCATATATTTGTAACATAGAATCACTTTCTGAGTCGATTTATGCATGTCCGTCCGTCTGTTGATGTTAAATTGTAAACAAAGTACAGGTCGCATTTATAATACGATTTGGATGAAATTTGGTACAGCTCATTTATTTGGCCCAAGGACGAACCCTATTGAAATTGGTGAAAATCGGTTCAGATTTACATATAGCTCCCATATATATTTTCGTCCAATTTAATGTAAATGGTCCCTATATATCTTTAGATTTGCACGAAATTTGGTATAGCCTACTGAATTAGGTCAAGAATGATGTGTGCTAAGTTTCGTGAAAATCGGTTCAGATTTAGATATAGCTCCCATATATAGTTTCGCCCGATTTTAGGTAATTGGTACACCAAAGTCGCTGTATATCATTCGATCATTCAATTAAGTCCAGAATGATTTGTGTTGAGTTTCGTGAAAATTGATTCAGATTTAGATATAGCTCACATATAGTTTCGCCCGATTTTAGGTAAATGGTGCACCAAAGCCCCTGAAAATCATTCGATTTGCACCAATTTTGGCATAGCGGACTGAATTAAGTCTAGAATAATGTGTGCAAAGTTTCATGAAAATCGGTTCAGATTTATATATATATATATATATATATTCGTTAGATTTTATGTAAATGGTGCACTAAAGCCTCTATATAAACGATTTGCACGAATTTTGGCATAGCGTACTGAATTAAGTCTAGACTCAATGAAATTTCGTGAAAAGTTTCCTTGAATTCGGTTCAGGTATAGATATAGCATACCTTCCATATACAATTTCGACCTATTCATGGTAAATGTATGTTTCCATGTAATCAATTGATGTCTGATTGAGATTAAATTTTAAACCGAACAACATACTAAATAGCGTGAGTAAAGTTTGCTTTAAATCGATTTACAAAAGTTAGCATAGGTTGCAGAATGACATGTGTTGGGATTGATGTTAGGCGGTTTAGATATAGACAAATTGCACATATTTAAGTTCGTTCAATTTCACTTCAATGTTCCTTCAAAATGGCGACGTCTGTTAGGATACATATGTAGAATATACCTAAGTGGTGAAGGGTATCATATTGTCGGCCCAGTCCGAATTTACTGCTTTCCTTGCTGTTTTTTTTTTCAGTTTGTGAAAACATGTTTAGTTTGGAAAAAATGTTATTTGGCTAAGAAACACTGCCACTTGAGTTACGGTTTTTTTCTCATGACAATAATGCTATACCTTTAAAAATTCTAAGTCAGTTAGACATTCCATCGTAAAAATTACCATATTATGGATTTACTTTTTTGGCCTTTGGTGGGGGCAGCGAAGTTTCACGGGTCCAGCTATGAACTTATAAAAAGGGTCATTGGCCGAAACATGAACTCATTCTCAAAATCAAAAATAATAAATTTTAAATACCTCAAGAAATTAGCTGAGGTCAACAAATAAAAAGTTTAATAACAGTCCGGGGCTACAAAATGTAAACTTCAACAGCAATTTATGTGAGTTTACCCATATCCGATTAGAAAATAGCCTTTCGTCAGGAATTAGAGATAAGATATCAAACTTACATTTGAATTTAGATCAAGGTGTCCGGCAAATTTTTTACCCTTAAAAATATGTATGGAGGAATTTGTTTACCACTAAACATTTCTAAGCCCAATCTAAAATATTGCGAGTTATATAGAGATTTCAATATTAAAATCTGAAGGACTGTTGGATATGGACTCGGTGTTATGTTATAAGAATCCTTCAGCAACATTTTTTTTTTTTTTTGTTTTTTGGAAAAATGGATGAACTAAAATGCCACATACTGCTGTAAATTAATATTTCTGCTTTTAAAATATCGTTAGGTACTTGAGTTGGCATTAAATGAGTACCTGTAATAATAATCCTGCATAATATAATGAGTTACCAGTAAAATAAGTTTTACAATCACGTGCAAAATATTATTGGAAATTTTATTACGGAAATTTGATATAAACTTAATGGTAAGTAGTTTATCAAACATCTTTTCCATTAATTCGTTAATTTTACCTACCCTATAGTAAAACAATTTTGATAAGGCAAAACAACGCTTGCCGGGTCAGCTAGTATTATAATAAATTAAAACATTGTAATTTATTTAGCACAAAAGTAATTTTCATTTCATAAAATTAAATAAATCTGATAATGTATTTATTTTTATAATGTTTACATGAAACACATAAATAACAATGTGAATAATATTGGTTAGTTCTGATTTAGATTAGGCGAGTTTACTTGCGGCAATTCTTGTCGTCCTATTTTGAACTTGCTTCATGCGTCTGTACAAGGCAATTCGGTTTCAAAACTATTTATTTGTTGACAACGTTTTTGATTGGTATTTCAAATTACAACAAAATACACAAAACGAATTGCCTGACAATTGCCTGTACGAGCAACTTTTTTTCAATTTCTAGCCCCTCTCTTCAGCAAACAAAGACTTGCCGCAAGGAAACTCGCCTAATCTAAATCGCCTAAATCAGTACAGGAAAAAATTATTACAGGGAGCGTAAATGCTGCCTATTATTTTATTATAGTTGAAAAATTAATAAATACATATATTTATGAAAATTTTGTATAACCGGGGAAATAGATTATGCTAAATCACTGCACTCAAATTACTAAATTTTTAGGTAGAATATAAATATTGGATGGAATACACTGCGTGTCATAACTATAGACGCACCTTTAATTCAATTGGTATGTTAGTTGACAAATAAAATGGGTCCATTAAGTTATGGTTCACAATAAAACGACCAAAAACACGCATTATTCAATAAAAATAATTAATTTATTCTTTATGGTTTCGCACCAAAAATTCTGCACAAAATTAGATAAATTTATTTTTTTCAAAATTACTGGTGTTGCATAACTATATTTCCTGCTGAAAACCGAGTCCTTCATTGTTGCTGTTTTCCCAAAATGGCAATAATTTGTAACTATATTGTGAAAATTCAAAAAAATTGATAGGCAGTATGATGGATAGAATTTTTGAACATATTAAAAATCCGCCCATTATTGATAACAGCCTGTTCCACGATCTCGAAAGAAAATTTGTGCGAACGAAGGCTACTCACTCACTTTCGCATAAGAATGCGTTCCACTAACTTTCGTTCTTTCTTTCGCATAGCCTTACGTGATTCAGTGTTGCAAAATATTTTTTGGCAAAATTAATCGCGAAATAAGGCAAAAAAAAGCGCCAAATGTCTAATTTAAACGCGAAAAAGCAGCAGTGGCTCTGTCTCAACTGACAGTTCAGTTGTAAACAAACAAATTGTAAATAAACAAACAAAATAAAATTTCTAGTGATTGTGTTCAGATTATTTGTGTTCTTAAAAAAGAAAAAAATGAATATTTCTGTGGCCCTGTTTTTTATGGATGATGAGGAGGAGGTACAAAATGTGCCACGGAGGCATTTAAGAGATGCTTCGAATTTATTTGAAGTACCTAACAACCAGTAAGTATGATTGTATTTTTACATTTTTGAAATAATAAAAAATGATTTTTTCTAGGTTTGTGGCCAATTTTCGTGTGTCGAAGGAAGTTTTTCGGGCTCTTTTGGATATGATGGAAGAGAAGTGGGTGGCCGGTTGCAGAACTACCCAAATCCGCCCCGATTTAAAACTTGGCACATTCTTGCGGTTTTTGGCAACAGGAAGCTACCAACAGAATCTAGGGAACGAAGCCTTGACTTCAACAGCGAAGTCGACAGTGAGCAGAACCATTGCGGAATGTCTGCAGATTTTTGAGGACCACATTTGCGGCCAATGGATAAAAAAGCCGACACTTACAGAGGAACGCAACACAATGGAGGCTTTCTATGAAAGAACAATGTTCCCTGGAATTGTTGGATGCGTTGATGGCACGCATATCCGCATCAAGTCACCAGGGGACGAATTGAAAGCCCTTTACTATAATAGAAAGGGTTATTATAGTATAAATGCAATGGTGGTAAGTAAATACATTTATCGTAAAGCGATTTTAAAATTATTGTGTTTTTTCGAATTAGATATGTGACCATAAAATGCGTATAACATTTGTCGACGCTAGACATCCCGGAAGCAACCATGATGCATTTGTATGGGAAAGGAGTGATCCAGACAAGTGTATGCAAAGGGAGTTTGACAATGGAAAACGAAACTTTTGGATTCTCGGTGAGTAATTTGTATACATCTTATATCATAATACATCAATTACATTTGTGTTTTCTTTTTTATAGGGGATGGAGGATACAAATTGAAGCCCTTTCTTATGACGCCTTACCGCAGCCCTAGAGATGTCGCCGAGAAAAAATTCAATAAGAGACATGCTAGTGCGCGTAACGTCATTGAAAGGTGCTTTGGGGTCCTAAAAAACAGATTCCGATGTATCATCGGATCTCGGGGCCTTCATTATGACGCTGCAAAGGTAGTGCAAATTATAAATGCATGTTGTGCGCTGCACAACATGTGCATACACTACCGATCTGAAGAGCCGCCAGGTGATGTTATTGATGATGATCTGGAAGACGAAGTGGATGACAATAATGATCTTGAAAGCAGAGCTGACGCAATAAGGAGAAAAATTGCAATAAATTTGTAAAATTAAAAGAATTTTTTATTAAAATAAAATAAATTAAATTAAAAATTAAAAAATTAGTTTAAATTATTATAAAAGGACTATAGTTAATTGTTTTGTGAATTGTTTTGCAAAAAAGTTGATAGAATTGCTTCTATAGACTTAAGCATTTTTGTTTGGGCCTCGGCACAATCTGCCATTCTCTCTGCAGCGTCAGCCATCCTTTTGCTTGCATCTGCTTGCTCCTTGGCTATTGCATTTGCCTGCTCGACCAGCCGCAATTGCCGACGGATAAGAGGTTTTTGCTCTCCGACGTTGGAACGTTTTTTTGCTGATGATGTGGATGGAAAATTATGTTGTGATGTGCATTTGAATGGGGGTGATTTCTGCACGGTTTGATGTTCCATGTGTTGACGAGGGGACGTTGTTTGTTTACGTTGGTGTTGCTGTTGGGTCTGTGTTTGTTGTGTGTGTGCTGACTGTGTCTGAGTTTGTTGTGTGTGTGCTGACTGTGCCTGTTGTTTTGCATATTGTTGAGTTGTGATGGTACAGGTTTTTACGTTTATTTGTTGTTGTTGGGTATGTGATTCTGGGGAACTGAACTGCCTGGTAGGTGTTACCACTGCTACGGCCTTGGATGGTCTTGATGGGATGGTATCCAATGCCTCGAAGCAGTAATCTATTTCGTCCGCGTAGCCAAAAGTTTTACCACTTGGTGCTGCGGACTTCGACAAGAAGAGTGTCCGGTCAATTGCTGTTTCCAGCTCCGTTAGGCACTCAAACCGGTATAAACCACCCCCTGTACCTTGCAGCCCTTTTTTATTTTCCGCAATTTTCTTTTTGGTGCGGGACTTTAGATCGGCCCACGTCTGTAAATAGTAATGCCGGTCAGACAAATAGATCGTAAGCCGAGTTTTCTGACTTACCTTTTTCCACTCTGCAATTGTGCGGGAAGGAGGACCCATGGTATTTAATTTAAAAACTAACTTCTTCCAGTGGTCCTCCAGGGATTGCCTGCTGCTTCCAAAAATTGGCACTCCTCTGGCAAACTCGGGATTCTCCTCCATATACTCAACTAGTGCCCGCAGCTGTGTAGTTGATGATTTTTTCGTGCTGGAATTGAGAAAATAAAAAAATTATTTATTGTTCCCATAATAAATTGGATTTATTATTTTTACTTACATTTTTGTTTCCATTTTCAATTAAGCAATGTTTATGTTTTAAAACAGATTTTCCTTAATTGTTATCGTACGACAGCAAACACACAAGTGACTGATTTTGACATTTGTGTTCGCATGCGTACGAAAGAAAAAAGATAGTGGAACGCAAAATTACACTGAAACGCTTACGTTTTCGTTCGCATTGATTTTCGTGCAAATTTTCGTTCTGATGGATTTTAGTGGAACGGAAATCAGCTGTTTGTCGTGTAAAAGTTGTGCGAACGTGTTCTTTCGATATCGTGGAACAGGCCGTAAATTAATTATTTTTATTGAATAATGCGTGTTTTTGGTCGTTTTATTGTGAACCATAACTTAATGGGTCCATTTTATTTGTCAACTAACATACCAACTGAATTAAAGGTGCGTCTATAGTTATGACACGCAGTGTATAAAATTAAGTAAAGATTTAAAATTGTCGCTACGTTCGGCCGGATTAAACTCTACCATCAAGAACCCCAAGTCCAAAATTACTTCAAATGCTGCCAAAACCCTCTAAAATGGAACAATGACGACATTTTTTAACAATATTTGAAGTCAATATAATGAGGGTATCTATATATAAAATAGAAAAAAATTTGTTTGTTTGTTTGTATGTTACCGATAGACGCGAAAACCGCTGAACAGATCTTAATGAGATTTACACTGTATGTGGGGTCATGCCCTGAAAGTAACATAGGCTATATAAACTTTTAAAATTCCGAGCGGATGCGGAGTTATAGCATCAATAATAAACATACCTCAAATTTTCTGAACATGTAATATGCGTTTATCTTAAGAACGGTTACAGATAACGCATTCAAAATTTATCTGTATATCGTAGGTGTGAATACACATTATTCATAAAAATATGAGCGAGATAAGATCGGTGGAAATTCACTCTCCGTTACACTTAAATAATCTTCATATAGAAAATAACAAATGTTTTGTTTCTAGACTCAAAAACCGTTAAACATATTTTACTGAGATTTTTACCGCACATCATGTCATCCGAGGAAAATAATATAGGCTACATAAACTTCCAAAATTTCGCGTGGATGTGGTGTTATCGCATCGGATGTAATTATACATTTGAACTAATATTAATTTTCTATGCTTATATCTTATGAAGGGTTACAGATTCCCACTTCAAAATTTGTCTGAGTAACTTGGTAGCAAATACGCATCATCCCTATAAAAATTGGCGCGGTACAATAGGGAAAAATGTACTCCTAACTGCATTTAATTAATCTAAATGTAGAAAATGGAAACTCTTTTGGTTGTTGACACAAAAACCGCTAAATAGATTTTACTGAAATTTTCGCAGTAAGTCATGCCAACCCATGTAGATAGGCAAAATAAACTTCGAAAATTCCGCGATAATGAGGAATTATAGAATCAACAGTAATCATACCTCTGAACTAATATTCATTTTCTACGCATATATTTGAATATCTTAAATAAATCGGCTCACACAAATTTGTATGGCACGCAGATAATTACATACTAATCTTAAGTGACCAGGAATTAACAAAATTGGTCCAAATCGATAATGTTCGACTCATTATTTTTGGTCCTTTTATGTATTATCAGTAATGATAAAAACCACCAGTTCAACAATTCCGCTAACGTCTGCTGTTTTTCATTTCTAAATTATCTACATATTGGAATAACATTTGTGTGAAATGGAAAATTTTTGACATTCTAATTTTTACAATTTGCAATTTGTGAAAAAAATGTTTTTTGTTGTTTTTTTAATTTTAAAAATTCAAGAAAAAGACTATGAATTCAATATGGGAGATATCCAAAAGAGAAATGGTGATTGGGGAATAAAAGTTATAAAAGACCGAAATCTGTGGTGGCTTATCATTTCAGTTGATATATTTCGAGGATGTATAGAGAAAATTACTAACTCAAACGCCACAAATCCTATCTTCGGACTTTCTTAAGAATAACAATCCTATATCTAGATTCGGTAAAAATATTATGATGTGATGTGAATTTTTCTTGGCTATGAAACAATTAAAAATGCACAACTCAAACTTAACAAGATTCATACGTCAGGTATCTAAGCTATATTAATCGGAGTGAGAAATGGATCCAAATCATATCATGGGGAAATAGTTGAGAATACAGACATAAAAAATTGCTGTAAAGTAAATGAAGGATTGTAGTGGTCTTTGAACGATTAATGAAAAACCTGTAAATATTGAAGAAAATATATTTATGTTTGGACTATTACAACTGATTAGAAAAGTCAAGCTAAATTTGTTTTTAATATTGCCACCGTTATTCAAAGATCATTTAAAAATGTATTTGTAATCTATTGAATATAATCAAATATACTAAGACCTAGACCGGCTGCTACGAAATTATTACTGATACTACACTACGAAATACCTACAAATAGTTTTCGACGTTAACTATCCAATGTTAATAACTTTAGTAGGGGCAGCGAAGGGCCACGGGTTCAGCTAGTATTAATATATATTCTAAAACTGTACAAAATTTTTCATATTCTAAGGTTGTTAAGTTCTCACAATAGAGATATTAAATATGGAATAATTGCAATGAAATTTTACACAGAATGAAAAAATACATGTCTTTATAATAAGTGGGTTTTGCTCTCAAATCAAGTAACATTTGTTGTTTTTTTTTTTTTAATATAGACTGACTTCAGTCTGAGTCTTTGTATATTTTGCATATTTCACCATAAGGTGGAGTATAAATATACATTTGGCAACGCCGTCAATTTTGTATGTTTGGTTTTTGCCTAGCCATTTCCATCAAATGGTGAAGATACCATTCGACTTTTTTCAATCAGACTAACTATATGTATGGGAGAGGGGGGCACCTTTGAACGTGGGGCACCTTTGAACAGCGCTCATAAAATCTTGGTTTAATATTTTTCCGACCTGCAACCACATTTTTGTATATGGCAATCTTGTCCTCTATAAGCGTAAACCACTTTGGCTTGCTTTTCCAGTTGTTGAAAATTTGTGCATGGGTGACCATGTTTTCTCAGTGTGATTGTAAACTTTTATTCATTTGGTTGTAAGGGCGCAGGAAGAATTATGTGATAGTTTTCTTTCGTCAAACAAATTTTTTGCATTCCAACAATCATTTCAAACATAACTTATGTATTTTCTCTCATATATATTTATTACAAAAAAAGTTATTTTAAATTTCCGTAAAATGCCATGGGTGGGGCACCTTTGAACATGCCCATTAAACTCGAGTAAAAACAGAAGTTTTTAACTTTTGGCTTCGATTTCTCAAAATTTCAAATCGGTTAATAAGATTACGAAATTAACTGTATTTTTCACAATATTAATTTTTGTTTTTAAGTCATTTTATGTTTTAATAACTTTTGATCTAAATTTTTAAAATTTTGAAAATTTTTTATATATTTTTTAATGAATTAATGCATTTCTGATATGTATTAATAAAATACATACATATTTGAACATAAACACTGTAAAAAACCATGTCGTTCAAAAATGTCAAGCCTTGTTCAAAGGTGCCCCCCTGGGGGGCAGTTTTGAACACTTTGAGTTCGTCCATTAAAACAGTAATGAAATATATTTATCAAGCTTATAGTATGTCATATGTATATTCATTTTAAAGGTTACATATGTACCTATTAGTTAAAATTTATAAGAAACTAAAAATTATAAAATAAAAAATTTTATAAGGCTTGAAAGCAAAAAGTGTTCAAAGGTGCCCCCCTCTCCCCTATATGTGATAACAATTATTTTGGTTTGCAGTTAGCAGAGTAGCTCCATGTTTTTGCGTACCGTCCATATAAGGGTCCGACTGACTTGAATGTGCACTTTGTGTAGTATTTATAGTTCTATGTATTTTATGTGCCGTTTTGCTCTTTTATGAGAAAACATAAGGGACCGTGTTACCTCACAAAAAATTTGTAGCAATTGGTCATCGTTATCTTGTGATTTAATACATTACAATTCAAATATCATTGCAATTGATATATATATCCATATATTTGAAATAATTATAAAATGCAAAATATTTCCTTTCATATACTGGCAACTTCTTACACCCTGTCTTCTTAAAGAAAATATGCACACATTCAAAACCCATGCAAATGTCTTTGTGTTTGGATCAGAAATATGATCTGTGAAGCGATAACTATGTTTGTAAATGTGATCCCATAAATAGTAACCGAAAATCACCGAAGACTATAGTTGTCATCCTAAAACTTCATTCGGGTGCACACCTATGAGTTCATATATCGCTATAATTATACCCTACACAACTATGTTGTCAGGGTATCATAGCTTTGTGCAAGCCCAAAAGTTTGTAACGCCGCGAAATATTGGTCCCAGACCCACCTTTAAGTATACCTATCGTCATATCTCGATTAGCAGAGTCGATCTAGACTTGTGTGTCCGCCCGTCTGTCCATTATAATTTGTAAACACGATACAGGCCACAGGTATGGACCAATCTTCACGAAATTTTGTATGTAGGACCGGTTCTTGCCGGCAAAAGGAAACGAGATATACACATCGTTCCTTTTGAGAATATGTATAGAATCACTTTTTAAGTAGAATTATGCATGTCCGTCCGTACGTCTGTCTGTTAAATTGTAAACAAAGTACAAGTCGCATTTATGATCTGAAACGGATGGAATTTGGCATAGGACATTTATTTGGCTCAAGGAAGAACCCTATTGAAATTGGGAAAAAATCGGTTCAGATTTAGACAAAGCTACCATATATATATTATCCGATTTAATGTATATGGTGTTCCAAAGTATCTATATATCTTTCGATTTGCACGAAATTCGGCATAGCGTAATGAATTGAGTCTTGAATGATGTGTGTTAAGTTTCCTGAAAATCGGTCCAGATTTTGATATAGCTCCCATATGGGAAATTACAAAAATCTTTTAAATTCCTTTAAACTGAGGTTTGCAAGTATATAACTCGCGAAATATGAACATAATCCATATAATTTAAATTAATTTCTATAAAATGAAGTGTTCTTGTCAAAATCTTAAAATATTGGTAATAAATAATAAGTTGCGTGGATGCTGTGGTGATGGTAATGTAAAAATCTGGGTGAAAATGTGTTGAAGCCAACAAGTGTTTTTGTATTCTTTCCTGATTTGCGGCTAAACTACACAACGCACGCACATGTGATCAGTGACTGAGTTGAAGAATACCCCATGGACAATATGGTCCTAATGTATGATTTTTTGATGTAATCACTACATCCACCCAAAACGGATGCTGACATTTTGAAGCCGGATTTTCGGTGTTTTTTGAATTT